CACACACACACACACACATAAATAAATAAATTTTTTTTAAAAAAGAGGCTTATGTAGCTCACAATTCTGGAGATTGAAGAGCACAGTGCTCATTCCATCCTTTCAGCTCCTCAGATCAGAGGCTTCCTCCTCGTCTCTTCTCATACACCTCCCACCTACCCCTCTGAAAATCCTGCTGGCACTAACTTCAAAACACACCTGAAATCTAATCACTTGTCTCCACCCCAGCAGCTACGGTGCAGTCCAAATTGCCTCTCTCCTAACAGTAATTTCCTTACTGGCCTCAGCTTGCTCGGATTCCCCAACACAATCTTCTAATATTGCAGCCAGAGTGAATCTTTTAGAAGCAAATCGATCTTGTCACGCCTCTGCTCAGAATCTTTAGTGGCTCCCTATTATTCTGGGAGTTGAAGCCAGCCTTTCATCCTTCTGAGCCTGTAGGACATGGCTGCCCAGTTCCTCCTGGCCTTTCCTGACGCTCCTCCCTTTGCTTACTTAGCGGAGCATGCAAACCCGAAGTGCTCCCAAGCCCTCAGTGCCCCCGGCTCCCTCCTGCCTCCGAGCCTTTGCACCGCCACTCCCTCTGCCTGGAGCATTCTTCCCAGACTGCTCGTCTCTTGGCCTCCTACCAGTCTTGGCTGAAATCTGACCTTTTGAAACATTCTGCCCTCCCCCAACCCCAGTCACCATCACTGCTTCCCTCCATAGAATCTGTGCCTTTTTTTTTGCAGGCTACGTAATTTATCATTTACCTCAGCCCACTTGATGATGAGCTCTCTGAGATCAGTGTTTCTATCTGTTTTGTTGTTGGACATATTTTTAGTACCAAGAACAGTGTTCACATAGCCAGCATGCTCCGGGGTTTGTGGTGGTGGTTTTCCTTTTATAGTACTGGGGCCTTTTGCCTTTTGCAGTTCAGAGTCTTTACACTGGGCTGCATCCTCACTCCCTTTTCATTTTTTTATTTTGAGACAGGGTATCAGATCACTAAATTACTTAATCTGGGCTCAATTTTTTTTCTTTTCTTTTTTTTCCTCTTTAATTAATTAATTATTTATTTATTTATTTTCATTTATGTGTTTGGTACAGGGTCTCACTACACAGCTTGGACTTGTAGTGATCCTCCTGTTTTCAGCCTCCCCAGTGCTGGGATTACAGGTGTGTGCCACCATGCCCCCCCACCAAGCCCCAGACTCCATTACTGGCTTGGTGCGTTGCAGGGGTGGGGAAGGCACTGCATGGGGGACTGAGTATTGAACCCTGGTCCCTGCTCTTGGCAAAGCAGGGGCTTAGACCACTGAACTATCTTACCCATGGTACTTTTCTCTTTTCTAAAAAATAAGGTTTTAGGACCAGCCAGATAGCTCAGTGGATTAAAGCACCTGTTTAGGCACATGCAGGGGCGGGGTTTGAGCCCAGGTGGTCTGTGGTGGCCCTGCCCCTGGGGCGCTCTGAGATGGCAGTTGAGACTGGGTATGGTAGCATGCACCTGTAATCCCAGCACTTGGGAAGCTGAAAACAGGAGAATCACTATGAGTCCAGTCTGTGTAGTGAGACCCTGTATTAAATTTTTAAAAAAAGTCTTTCTAGGGCTGGTGAGATGGCTCAGTGGTCTAAAGCACCTACCTAGAACAAGCTAAGCTAAAGCACAGAGACCGCAGTTCAATCCCCCAGCACCACATGCCAGCCAGCCCCGCCCCCTGGTGGGCTGAGCTGGACACACACACACACACACACACACA